TTCTTTTCAAAGCACCTTTTGTTCAATCGGTGGAATATTTTTATTTATTGTACCACTCATGGTTGTTTTTGTTTTTCTTTTCCCTAAATGTTTTTCCCAGTGATCCCCAAGCCCATCGTTCCCCCTTCTGCTGGAGCAGTTGCAGCCCTTAGAAGGGAGCCTTCAAGGCTGGAAAGGATGAGGGGCATATGTCACTATATGGCTGAGGAGGCAGGAGGGAGAGGTTGGAAATGAGGAAAATTTGCGAAATTTCTTCTCAGCAAGAGCAGTCAGGCATTGGGACCCAGGGAGGTGGTGGTGTCACCATCCCTCGGGGTGTTTAAGGGAAGGTTGGACATGGTGCTTAGGGTGGTGGTGCTTAGTGGGTGACATTGGCAGTAGGGTGATGGTTGGACCAGATGATCTTGAAGGACTTTTCCAACCTAAATAATTATATGAAGGCGAACGGCTCCCAGCAGGGCCCGCCGCCAGCTATGGCCGCGCCCCCTCTCCGCCATCACTTCAGGGCTCTCGAGGCGGGAAACGCTGCCTCCACCCCGAGCTCCCCGAGCTCGCTTTCTATTGGCGGCCTCCCCCGTCCGTCGGTGGAATCCCGCGTCTCTATTGGCTGTTGGCCGCCGCGGGGGGCGGGACGAGGCGGGGAACTCCGCCTGGGCGCGGCCGTGCCTGGGTGAGCGGGGCCGTGAGGGGAGCGGGGCCGGGAGGGCGGGCGGAGGGGCCGGGAGCGGGGCCGCTGCGGGGTCCGGAGGCGATGGCGGGGCCGGGAGGGGCGGTGGAAGCACGGGACGAGGTCGTGAGGGGAAGGGGACGGCGCCCGGCTGGCATCGAGGGGCTCCTCCTCGCCGCTGTGCCCGCTGCTGGCTCCCCTCGGCCTCCTGGGGTCCCAGCCCCCCTCAGCTCCCCTCAGCCCCCCTCAGCCCCCTTCAGCCCCACTCAGCTCCCCTCAGGCCCCCTCAGCTCCCCCTCAGCTTCCTCCCTCCCTCCCCTCATTGTTAAGGGTGCTGCAGCCCCGTGTTATCCCTCCCTAGGGGTTTTGAGTGGAGAAAAAATGCTCTGTGGCCGTGGACGAGTATAAAACACAAACCAGGGCCTGCTGTGTGTGTGCTGGCAGGTCAGGGTTTGGGTTAATGCCCGCTCTGTTAACTTGTGGGACGGAGGTGAACAGAAATGTGTCAGGGAGAAAGGGCTTCTGCTGGGCCAGCTAACGCTTTGGGAAGGAGAAACGGCGCTAACAAGGTGGCACAGGCTGTACGTGGAGAGGAGCACAGAGCCGTGCTGTTGGCACAAAGCACCACCATGGAGCTGGGTGCAGGAGGCAGAGGTACCAAGCAGGGGCTGGGTTTGTCGGTTGTGGAACAGCCGCTGCTGTCTCACCTCCTGGGGATGTCGGTAATTTGTCTGAAATTCTGCCCTGTAGAAAGCCGTGTGTTCCTGAAAATAAATCCAGATGTTCTGTGTGTGTTGCTGTTTCTTTGTTCTCTCCAGGAAAAAAAAAATCCCCACACCTGGAACTGGAACTTCTCTGTTCTAGTTCCTGACCTGGAAGTGAGCTCCTTGCTGAATGGAAATAGATTTGCCCGAAGCGATGATGAGTGAAGTATTCTCTGAACTGGTATTGCCGAGACTTTGCGTCTTTGCTCTGACCAGGGCATGATCACGTAATCTTCTCTCTGAGCTTGTTTAGGCAAAGCTCATCTGGAGCAAACAATTTCGCTGCTGCCTGAGATGTTTTGATGCACCCTAAAAAAACGGTGGAAAAATATTACAATTTGTTAGCAGTGGTGTTTAGCAGTACAAAAACAATGTTGATTTGAAAAGTGAGCAGTGCAAATACTTGTTTGGATTCATGCATCCTACTGCAACACCAGATTTAGCGCAGAGCTTGCAGTGAGAGGGATTTCTCGGTGTTTCTACCATGTGTGCCATGGCTTACGAACCTCCACATACTCTGTGTCTGTGTTTTCTCCATATTGGGGAAAAAAAGGCATGAGGCATTCCCTGGAACTCTTCACTGGAGATGGGTTTTGTTGCATGTGATGCACATGGATTTTCTGAGAGAAGGATCCTGGGAACACTTCTTCCTTTACACCCTCAGAAGGGGCTAGGCAGGGATCCCACTGCCAAGTGCAGCTCAGCACAATTTGTGGCTGTTTCACGATGGTTCATCTAGTGTATACAAGATGATTCTTTTCCTTAAGCTGTGCTACAGACATGAATCTTTAGTTCTACATTGGACATAGAATAATGCGACTCAGCTTTCAAGTTTTTTAAAACTAAATGCTGTGAAGCAGAGCAGATTCTCCAGCTGTAAGAAGTGGTGTATATCTCTACTCGGAAAGCCCAGGAACAGTTTTGCCGCAGCAAACATGCGGCTAGTGTAATGAGTTAAACTGAATCATGATCTTCTTGCCTTGATGGACCATTCAGATATCTTTAGTCTATGCTTTACTTTCAAATGACTCCTTTGATTATAGAGCGGATTGGGTTGGAAAGGATTTTAAAGATAATCTAATTGCAGCCCCCTCTAGTTCAGGCTGGCCAAGGCCTCCTTGATGTCATTAGACCTGCTAAAAAGTACCTGAAAAGGTCATCAGGAACAGAAACACACAGACTGCATGGGCAGACACAGGGAATTTTCGATTCTGCTGTTTTTTGAAATACGGCAACTTTACACTGATATCTGACTCAATAGTTAGAAGTTAGTGAGGGCTGGGTTAACCCAAACCTGTGGGACTGCGTGGGGATGAAGTGCAGGAAGAAAGACAGGGCTAACTGAGCAAGTGCAGATATGGAGCTACTCTCATGCAATTTTTTATTCTCTTCCAGGTTTTGGTGACAGCTTTGCATACATTTCTCTCTGCCTGTGGAGAAGGAAGCGTCTGTGGGGGTATGTACCCAGGAGTAGAGTTACAGTGAGAAGCCAAGTGCTTTCTGTTGAGGAAGTGGGGAAGCCAACTCAGTTGCTAATGCACCCGTTTTGAAGTGTCTAGGTGAGAAGTGAATGTGGCTAGATGGTCTTGAAAAGATTTGCCAAGTCAAGTTCTGACAATGATGTATTGGGCAACTCCAGGGCTACTGTTAAAACGTTGCGGTAATTGTATTAAGCAATAGTACAATGGATTGAGGATGCTTTGTTCATGACCACAGAACTCACAATTAATATGTAAACCCAAGGGTTGGTTTAATAAAGCTGGTGGTCCTTTACAAATCTTTTTCTCGTCGATCTTTAGACCATCATTGCGTTGATAATGCAGTTAAAAAGCAGATAGAAGGGAATGATTTTGTAACCTGAATCAGCTTCAGAGCTTTGTTGTACAGCAACAAACCTGATAAACTGATACTTAATTGACTACTGAAGACAGCCCAGTTAGAAGCAGCAGTCAAATTCAAGCTGGTATTCTGCAGCCATCTGCAGGAGCACTAAAAATCTGCCAGGTAACTGCTGAGCCTGGCACCATCGTGGGCTTAATGCCTGCTAGTCAGATAGGCATTAAAGAGCAATTTAACATTCAAAAGAGTAATTACAGCAGTTCAGAACTGTGAGGCTCAGACGTGGGTGGTTCTGCGCAGGTCTTGGAGCTGCTGTGGAGTTGGCCAGATCTCAGTTTGGCAGGGACGGCGTTGTGCAGCATGGTATGGGGGAGATGGAGGAGAAGGCTGCCAAGAGCTGACAGGAGGACATCCAGGGGCCATCTAGAGAGGGGAACAGGTATTAGTCCTGGGAGAAGGAGGGACAGAGGCCCTGGAGAAGTGTCTGTGCTGTTCAGTTAGTGAATCCTCCTGGATCACAGGGGAGGATGGCGCAGAACTTTGCTAGGAGTTCTGCTGCGCTGGCAGGTCAGGCTGCGCCAGCCAGTATTCTGTGCCAGGTCTGCTCAGCTTCTCACTGAGCAACAGACAGGTAAATCGGAAAGGACAGGAAGGATCAAAGGAAAATAAACCTGTCCTGAAACTGAATTGTCAGTTTTATTTAAATGTATGTGTCAGTTTTATTTAAATGTATTTAACTGAGCACTGGTGTCAGTGGGACAGCCAGGCCACGTCTGATCAGGCAGGGTAAGGCTGTGCAGCAGCAATGCAGCCTCCTGGCACGGGCTGTTCACAGATCTCTGTGTATGAAGCAAAACTGAGGTAGTGGGTGATGTGAATTAATACCCAGCTGTATTAAAAGGGGTATGAAATGGCAGGAAATCTTGCACCTTGACATGGTTTCTTTTTCCAAAGAGATGTGTATGCTATTGCTGGTCTTCTAAGAGAAGAGGGGTGTCTGTGGATCCTGTAACTGCTGGAGAAAGGTGGCAGTTTTTATAATTGACCCACAGTGGCAAAGGTGGAAGGGTCTGGAAGTTGTAAAGAGATGATATGACAAGCATAGGGGACCCACATAATTTGTCACAGTATGTGTTTTCCAGAGCATCTTTGGGTGGATGAAAATTACTGTATTTTTTAAGACTCTTCAATAACCTTGCTATCTTGCTTACAGGTGAGGGAGGATATTATAGATTTGTATCTTCTGAGCACAGCTAAGATGGGGTAAATTAGATCACTGGTTCAGTGGATGAAATGTTAGAGCGTATCTCTTAATCTGGGAAGACCATGTACTCTGCAGCAAGCTTCAGCTTCATGTTCTGTGAGCAAGGAGACCGATGTCTGGAGTAGCTAACTGCTGCTCCCTAAAGCCAAGTCTGGAAAAAAGCAGCCTTCCATCTTACAAAATCGTGTGTCAAGCCAGAACCAGCCATAACATCACATGCATTGGCTTTTTTCTTCTGTTCAATGAAAGATGCTTCACTGCGATATGAGTGTGCTATGTGGTTGAGACTAGAACAATCGCGACATAATCCTTAATTCAAACACAGACATTAAAGGTTCCCAGCCTGCAAAATGCTAATCTTTATCCATGGTCATCATCTGCAAAGGTGGAAGCAGCTTTAGTCTGTGTTATGTAAATAGAACCACTAGCAAGCTTTTCCTAGTATCAGAAAATAAATACAGTTGGATTCTCAGTGAAGAAAGAATCTTGCTTTATAAAAGCAGACACCAACAGATTCAAAGACACGTCTAACAGTTCATCAGTTGGCACAGGGCTGCTTTAATCAGGTTTGTCATTTTTCTCCCTTTGGAGAACACACACCCTCCCTCCTGTGTCCCTGTTTGTACATACCAACCCCTGTGCCTTTAAAGAGTCAGAAGTCTTAATTTAGCACTGTTGGTAGGAATTAAGGGTGTGATGTTCTCGTTAATTCAAAGGTGAGCAGCCTGAAAACGCAGGGTGACTCCTAAGAATAGCGCGATCAGCAGAGAGGTCTGAGCCTGGCTCTTGGACGAGCCTAGTGCCAGGGCCTGCCCCAGGCATCGCGAGTGCCTGGGGGGCAGCTGAGGGAGGATGAGCTCACCCAGACAGTTCTTCCTACCTGATTTGCTAGCTTATGCCCTCAAGCAGGACTTTCACCAGCAATGTTCTCTGATCTGCGTTCATATTATCTAAATCAGCGCTTCCTCTCCTTCAGTTGGTGCACGAAGGCATTTCTGTGCCAGCTGACAGGCAGAGGCTGTCCAACCCCTCCGAAACTCTGCTGCAGGAACCTTACTGAAGGTTCTGAGGGCAGCAAAGCTCCGTGCAGCCAAGTTCAGGGGAGCTTCAGAGCTGATGAGCTGTAGGGGTTCCCCTGCACTGCCTGGGGGGAGGAGGAAGAAGAGAGTGGACAGGGTAAAGGTGTTTTTAGCTTGCTTTTATAGCTCCCCACTGCTCTTGTCTGTTAGTAGCAGGCAATAAATATTAATCTCCCTACACTGAGCATGTTTTGCCCACGACAGTAACTGATGAGTGGTCCCAGTCCCAGAGAGCGATCCCCTTTTCCTATTTTCTCCCACTCTTTGAGGAGGAGGAGGCGTGAGAGAGCAGCGCAGCAGGGTTCATCCACCGCCTTCCTTCCCAGCCAGTCCCCAGCGATGTTTCGGGCAGCACGGGGCAGGGCGTTCAGCTCTCGGGCGAGTACAGTTTGACCAGGTGCTGCAGCTCCGTGGCGTAGCCGGTGACGGGGCAGCGCTGGTGAGCCTTCACGTAGCTGTACACGCAGCGGTAGCAGAAGACAAAGCCCGACGTGGACAGGGCGGTGGCGTTGACTCGGACTTTGCGGCACAGCGGGCACAACGTCTTCAGCTTGGGTAAAAGGACCGAGCCCTCCCCGTGGTCGAGATGCAGGGGGGGCGGCGGAGTGGGCAGCGCCGTCAGGGATTTGATGGTTTCCTGGTTTTCCGAGGAGTACCACCAGTCCAGGAACTGGAGGAAGAACACGCACACGGCCAGCCCGCTGGACAGGGAGAAGGCGATGCCACCAAGCGCTCGCCTCACCGCTGACTGCACTCGTGTTGTGATGCTGGAGCAGGGACAGAAGATAGGGAGAAATCATTAGTAAGGCGCATCGCTGCCTGCAAGCCATGGCAAAAAGGCTCGGCGAGTAGCAGGGTACTGCTTTCTACGGCTTCTTAACGCTAAGCTGTGACACCAGCGGATCCCTTGTTTGTAATGGAAACATCTAGGATGTCTCCGATTCTCTGTGTGATAAGAAAGCTTCACGTCTTGTTCCAACTAAACGAGGAGAGTTTGGATTGAGGGGACCCGGACCAGAGATCATTTCACCCCTGGATCATTCCTGTGCAGAACACTGGCTGTGGTAATGACTGTGTTGCTGCTCAGAAACATCTAGTACCCAGGTTCAGCCCTCTTAGCAACATGTTGCAGCCAGCTTCCCTTAGGTAAGGACTGAACAGATGGGGTGCCAAGAAAAAAAAAACAAGGCACTTTTACTACCACAAAATGCTGTGATGCTAATCTCTGCTACCTGTTTGCTTATTTACACTACTCGTGTTCCCTTTTGGAGCACAAGCAAGCTTCTCCCTGAAGAGTTTCTGCAGAACAAGACACTTCCACCTGCAGAACCTCCTGTAACTTGAACCCCGTGCTGTACCTGTGTGCCTGCCCTGCGGTGGGCACGGGCACCTTCCTCTCCAGGCTCTGGATGTCCTCCGCAGTCAGCCTGACCAGGCGGACGCCAGCTAGCCGCAGCAGGGGCGAGTGGTGCTGCGCCTTCCCGAGGATGTAGCACAGCTGCTGGACCAGGAACCAGCCCTCCCAGCTCATGAGGACAAAGGGGTAGGCGGCTAGGAAGGCTCTGTAGAAACGCTTCCAGGAGGACGACGGGGGGTGGATGGAGTACTCGTCCTCCTCCCGGAGGCTGGCCACCAGCCTCTCCAGCTTCCCCTTCAGGTAAGGGACGAGGACGAGCAGCAGGAGGGACCGCCAGTGCTGCTTCTTGGGCAGCCCGGCGGCGGCCAGGGCTGGCCGTTGGCGGCCTCGCAGCGGTACCCGCTTCAAGCTGTAGAAGTTTTCGGAGAAGGAGGCGCTGCAGGTGGCCAGGTAGTGCTGCTGGAGCAGCAGGTCCAGTACGGCGTACGCCTCATCGAACCAGCGCCACAGCCAGCCCAACCGCCCGGGGTTGGACTCGGCCAGCACCTGCAGAGAGAACACGGGGCAGGGATGGAGCTGGAGGCAGTGCGTGGAGTCACGGGCACTACAGATAAATCACCGCTGTGGTTTGGGGCTGGGTGCCTCCAGGCTGTGAGGCTGCCCCGTGAGTGGGGAAAAAAAGGTGAATTTTGGTGAAGGAAGGCTCGGCAGGGTGTCACACAGGGAGGCTCCAGCCTCAATATCTGTACAAAGTGATCACTCACATTGCCTTCAGCACCCAGCACCTCTCCCTGCACCTTGGGTTCGGGGCTGGGTGCGTCCAGGCTGTGAGGCTGCCCTGCGAGTGGGGCAAAAAAAGCGAATTTTGGTGAAGGAAGGCTCAGCAGGGTGTCACACAGGGAGGCACCAGCCTCAAATGACCGCTCTCACTGCCCTCAGCACCCCTCAGCACCCAGCACCTCTCCCTCCACCTTTGGTTCAGGGCTGGGTGCCTCCAATTTGCGAAGCTGCCCCGCGATTGGGGCAAAAAAAGTGAATTTTGGTGAAGGGAGGCTCGGCAGGGTGTCACACAGGGCAGCACCCAGCCTCCATACCCACACAAAGCGACCTCCCTCAGCCCCCCTCAGCACCCCCCCACCCCCGCAGCCCCCCCCCCTCCTCAGGCAGCACCCATGGGTGCCGGGGGCACCCAGCGCAACCCCGGGGAGGGTCCCCCCGTGCTGGGGGCGGCCTCACCTTGGCCAGGTGGCGCAGGGCAGGCCTCAGGGCGGCCGTCAGGCTCTCCTGGGCCACCGCCTCGAAGACGCTGGGCCGCTGCCCCCCGCCGCCATCGGCCGGGGGCGCCGTGAGGTGCGCGCCCAGCTCCGCCATGGCGGCCGCCCCGCCGCCGGCGGGAGGCGCTCTAGCCCCGCGCGCGCGGCTCCTCTCTATGGTCCTCTCTATGGTTTTTGGGGGAGGGAGGGGGAGGGGGGGCTGCTTCTCGCGAGGCCGCCCCGCAGCTTCCGCATCCGCCCCGAGGCCACGCCCCGAACCCGCCCCCCCCCCCCGCAGAGTGAGCGGAGCGGTGAGTGGGGGGCACTGGGGAGACTGGGGGGGACTGGGAGGTACTGGGAGGGGATGGGGGACTGGGAGGGGTGCAGGGAGGGGCTGGGGGCGCTGGGTAGGGGGACTGGGGGATACTGGGAGGGGCTGAGGGGACTGGGAGGTACAGGGAGGGGATACTGGGAGATACTGGGAAGGAGGACTGGGAGATACTGGGAAGGAGGACTGGGGGATACTGGGAGACACTGGGAGGTACTGGGTAGGGGGACTGAGGGATACTGGCAGATACTGGGAGGGGATACTGGGAGGTACTGGGAGGGGGTATAGGGAGGGGCCGGGGGCACCGGAAGGTACTGGGAAGGGACACTGGGGGTACTGGGAGAATGGAGGGGGTACTGGAAGGAACTGGGAGGGCACTGGGTAGGGGTACTGGGAGGGACTGGGAGGTACTGGGAATGGATACTGGGGGATACTGGGGAGGGACACTGGGAGGTACTGGGAGAATGGAGGGGGTATAGAGAGGAGCCGGGGGTAATGGGTAGGGGTACTGGGGGGTACTGGGAGGGGCTGATGGGACTGGGAGGTACTGGGAGACTTATTGGGAAGGGATGTTGGGGGATACTGGGGGGGATGAGAGGGTACAGGGAGGAACTGGGAGGGGGTACTGGGAGGGGCTGAGGGTACTGGGAAGGGGTACTGGGGGGGGATGGAGGGGTTATAGGGATGGGCTGGGGACACTGGATGGGGTACTGGGGGATACTGGGAGGTGCCAAGGGGACTGGGAGGTACTGGAAGGCTTACTGGGGAGGGGTATTGGGGGATACTGGGGGTGTACTGGGAAGGGACACAGGCTGTGGTTGGGGATGCTGGTGGGGGTATTAGGTAGAACTGGGGGGATACTGGGAGGGGTTGGGGTGAGGAGTTGGGGGTGCTTGTGAGATACTGGGAGGGGGTGGGGTACGGGGGAATACTGGGAGGGGATTCAGGGATAGGGTGGGGGCAAAATACCAGCAGGGGTTACTGGGAGTGGGTGGTGGCTCTGGGGAGGGACTGGGAGGGGATACTGGAATAGGGTGGGACGATCACTGGTGGGGCACTGGGAGGGGGGTACTGGGATAGGGGGGACCATTGTGGGGGGGGACTGGGAGCAGGTGGGGGCACTGGGAGCGGGCACTGGGCATGGACGGGGGATGTGCCTGCAACTGGGAGGAACTGGGAGAGCTGTGGGAGGTGAGGGGGGCGCCGTGCAGCTTCAGGACCCCTCCTCCTGCCTGCAGGCGGGGGCAGCAGCCGGATGCTGGGGGTTTAAAGGTCAGCGCCGGGACCAGCAGGGCTCCTTCCTTGGAGCTGAACACGATCGGTGTGGGGCATTCGGTGCTGTGCTCCTTTCTTCCCTGGGTTTCTCTGTCACCTGCTCCTTTGGTCGCTGTGAAATGAATTTGGGGTGACCCAGGTGGGCTCAGAGCCACCAGGAGCAGGAGGAACACCCCCAGAGCCTCCCCCGGGTGGTGTGCTCAGCTGGCATGGCAGGAAGGGAGGAAAAAAATGAGCAGAAAAGGAGAAGGGAGATAAAAACCCAGTCCTGGTGCCTGGGCAAAAAGTAGAAAAAGGAGGGGAAAATAGGAAAAAAGCCCCGTTTGGATGTGGTGAGGGTCGCGGGCGCTCAGGCAGCTTGTGGCGTGGGGAGCAGCACGCTGCACACCCCCTGCTTGTTTTTCAGGCAGCGCCTGAGAATTGTTTGAGTCATGTTTGTTAGGAGCTGGCAGCCAGAAGAAATGCTGGCTCGCCGCACGCGTTTGGGTGCGATGCGCCCAGCGTTTGTTTTCCTGGAGCTGCCGGGGCCGAGCGCGGAGCTCTGGTAAGCGCCCGCTGGCCCAGCATGCGTTTTTGGTCCATAAACGTGCAGGGCAGCCCCGAAATCACAGGCTCGTGTGCCTGAGGAGGTGGGATGGAAGGTCGTGGCAGAGGGATTTCAATTTCAAGCTCGAGAGAGCTGAAAAGGGAAGGCTTTGCTTCGCAACGAAACTGCCGGCTGTTCGGCAGGGTTTAGGAAGACCAAAAGTAGGAAATGAAATGAAGGAGCCCCGGGGGAGGCGTTGCAGAAGGGTTAATGGCTCTGCCCATCGAGGTGCAGCCTGGAGCTGGATCGTTAGGGGGAGTTGGCAGGTCCCTTTGTCTCAAACTTCCACTTCTGGCCTCAAACGGGCAGTGCTTTTTTTGGAAAGCAAAACTGTGTACCTGGGGGAAAGACAGGCACAGCGCGTGTGAGATCTGCTGAGTGCAGGCAGTTAAAAGCTTCCTTTTCCATCCTCAGATGGAGCAATGAGCAGGCTCTCACAGCCTTTTCCAGCTCATTGCATTGTGTTTTCACTGACATTGTCCGTGTGAGCCCTCCACGTCCCTGGGTTTGCCGGATAACACCAGCAGCAGGTGCAGGATGAAGGCTGTGTGTGTGTGCACGTGGGGCGTTTGTTCCTTCCCCTACATCATTTGCTCACCGATCCGTTGTTCCTCCGAGTTTCTGGGTTGCAAACTGGCTGTTCCATCTCTGCTGTTTGACTCCTCTTTTCCGCTTTTATTTTCAGGTGTCTCAAGGAGCTGGAACCATGACGGACTCCAAGTACTTCACCACCAATAAAAAAGGTGAGCGTGGAGCAGGAGCAGAGCACTGGAGGTGGTGGCTGGCTATTTTTACTCAGCTCCTTTAACTTGTGCTTTTCTGTTAGCTCTGCCCCTGATTCTCATCTTAATCACCCAGGGAGAAACTTCCAAAGTAGGTCACATGGTGGTAAAAGACAAAAGTGGTGTAATGCACAGTTCTGTGATGCACCGAGTGACCCAAATTGTTGCTTTTTCAAGGATCAGAGAACAAAACAGTGGGGTATGTGTACAGGTATGGTCAGAAACAGAGGTTTGGTTGTAGGCTGAGAAGCTCAGGACCGAGGAAGGTTGTTCAGATGGGCATCATGGGATAAAGTTGATGGAGAGAGATTAATATTTAAGGTGAAAGCATGCATCTCTGCATCAAGCTGACGCAGATAATGGGGTTTTCTGCTGCTTCTTCCTTCAAAGTTGCAGTGAAATACGTTTGTTTTCCACGTGCTCCTTTTAACATTCACTGGGCTTCCCTGTATGTGTGGTGGTCACCTCTCCTCCGGGCAAACAGCAGCAGTTAAAAACTGGAAGGGATCCCTGGGGTTGTTTCACCCATTCACCTCCCCAGGGCAGGACTTTGTTTGCTGGAACAGTCCCAGGCAGATCCTTTTTTTTTTTTTTTTTTCCCTTTTCCCGACATGTTCTCAAACAAAACATTGTTTATCCTAGCTCTGGCTGGCTGCAATTTAAGCCTGATGTTGCTCATCCCTTCTCTGGGAGATGTGGAAATGGTTCACATTAACCTCTCCTTTCCAGAACGGCTGAGTGTTTCTAGTGAATGCTCGCTAGTGAAAAAACCACAGTGCTGCTCCATTTCTGAGCTCATACCGAAGCGTAATGAAACATAAAATAAGCAAATGCAGTTCGCTTCGTTCTGAGGAGCGCCTCTGGCTGTAAGTTCAGCGCTGAAGCATCAGCTGTGTTTTTCTGAGATGCCTGCAAGAGGCCAGGGCACACCGGGTGAGCTCTGGTGAGCAAGCTGCTGCTCAGCTCCGGGGCGTGATCTCGGTGTGAGTGATGCTGGCATCTCATGCTCAGGCAGGCGATGCTACAAGTGGTCACTGCCCTCTTCACACAAAGCAGCGATTTCTGTTCTGTGTGAAGTACAGGTTGGTACTTCTTCTTGTGCCAGGTTCGTTAGTAATTAGTGCTGCTGCTCTGGCAGATTGGCATTGGTGTGTAGGAATTGAAGACTAGGGGCTAGGAGGTATTTTGTCAGAGACGTTTTGATATTTGTAGTGAACGTGTCCTCCTCAGCCTGTAATTTCTAGTGGCAGTGCTGCTGGCTGTCCTTGCTGGGAAAGGAGCGTTACCCGTCTCGCACCGATTGCTGTGTGTCTGGAGCAGGCCTGATAAGCTGCTTTCTGCATGCATTACCCTGTTTTGCAAACTTGCTGTGCTGCTTTTGTGATCCTGCCTGAGCTGCCTCCCCATGCAGCGCTATCTGGAAGAACTGCCATCATGCCAAGGCTGCTCTGGTGACCTCGGCATCAGGGCAGGCTGTAGTTACTTGCTGCTTTTCTTAGCAAGAGCTCTGTCCTTCTAGCCCGGGAGGAATTTATTCCACTGGACTAAATTTGTGCTTTCCCATCTCTGTGTAGCGTGGCAGTTGTGCTACACTGCAGTCTTGTTCTGCTCTTTTCTCACTGCCCCTGCAGGAAGCGAGTGCTGATGGGCAAAACTTAAAAAGTCTGGGCTAAATTCCTAGCTAAGTTTGTTTTTTCTTGCAGGCACGATTCTGGTGTCTCCAAATATCTTCTCATTCTGGTTATATAACGATTGTCTCTGAGAAACAGATGCTACAGGGATGTGATTTCATGTTCTGAAAGTGGGAGAGCTGCAACGTGCAGTGTGGTTCTTGTTTACAGCTTTCTCATTAGCAAGGTGTAGCCCGTGTCATTCTGCGTGTTGCAGCCTTGTTTCTTGTTGCACCGTGTTCTCCATGAAGTCTGACAGCTTCCACGTGCGTTGGGTTTATGGGAACAACAGGCCAGAAGAATAAAAAGTCACTCTCAGGCTCTCTCTAAAGCCAGACCTTTTTCTGCACCCAAGAACCTCAATCTGTTTTTTCTTCCAGGAGAGATTTTTGAACTGAAGGCTGAACTCAATAATGAAAAGAAAGAGAAGAGGAAAGAAGCTGTAAAGAAGGTTATTGCAGCCATGACTGTGGGGAAGGATGTCAGGTAACAGCAAACTTCACCTGTAGCAGCTCTGGTTCTGCTGGGCAT